CACGCTTTTCATCTTGTGCTCATCCCCACCTGCTCTTTACCGATGCAGGTTAAGTGACAGCCGGGTGACGAGGAAGGACGAGTTGGTCGGTCTATTTATTTATGCATTATATGGCTTCCGTTGAACTTGAATAAATTTGTTGCACGTTATGTTTTGTGCAAACTATTTTCAAACTTGGTGTGAGGATTTTGAATCTTACGAACCCTTGTAGTTTTGGGATTGATGTTTGACTAATTATTCATGAGTTTGTGTTGGTTGATGAAAACCGCTTGTGAAAACCGGGTAATGAATCCCCGTAGGCCCAGATAAGACTTGGGTTATGAAAATGTTAGTTAACACCCACTAAGTTTTCGAAAATGATTTTGAAAATTTTATACTGGTTTTTGGAAAATTCGAAATTTCTGTAAAATCAAAGTGGGGTGTTACAGACACAGACAAAATAAAACGACCCCAGCGGGGTGATGTGGAACGACCCCAAACGAGGTAATGTGGAACGACTCCAACGGAGTAATCCCTCTTAACTGGGGCCAAATGGCCCAAACCAAAAAAACAATCCTAAACCAACACCAAATACAAAGATTAGTATGTTTAGGATTTTCTTTGCTTTTATGTGTTATCAATATCGAACCTAAATTCCGAACCGCCTTCCTCGATCGACCCGAGAAACGAATCCTTCGATTTGGTGCTCGATAAATAATAATAATTTGTACACAACAAATTTGGCGCCGTTGCCGGGGAAGGCAAGTATGATATTTGGTTTTGGTATTGATTTTATTTTCTGTGTTTCTCTTTATTTTGTGTTTTTCGTGTTTTTGTTCTTCCTTTTGTGCTTCTTTTCTTTCCTTTTGTCTATTTTGTTTTTGTTTTCTTTGTTTTCTCTTCGTGGCTACGCGTGGTTGTTCTATTTTGGTGTGGAGGAGATATGAACTTCAACCGTGCTTTTCCTTATCCGCACACCCAACCTTGGGGTTACGAGTCAAGCTATCACACCGGGTACCACAACCAGTCATATTCGTACTCTTCCGAGCAGTGCTGGGATCCTTACACAGTCGAGCAAACTTGTGAGTCCCACGAGTTTGACGAGAAGCTCGACCGTATCTATGTTTTCGCAGCATCCCGGTTGGCTCAGGAAGAAGAGGCTGCAGCCCGGTGTGCCCGTCCGAACCAGCCACCTCCTTACCATGATTCTTGGGACATCGACCAGACCTTATCATATCCTTACGAACATCAGTGGGATTCCTGGCCCGTTGAGCATCCATATGAGTCCCTCGAGGATTCCTCAGAGTACAATGCCAAGCTCGACCAGGTCCTCACTCTTTTAGCATCCCAAGCGGCTCGTAGGAGCAACCTTGAGTCCAGAATCGAGGAACTTGTGGAGCGCGTGCAAGCCTTAGAAGATCGAGCTACCAATTTCTCCCTCGAGATCACCGCTCAAGGCGTACCTACAAACAATAATGAACCTCGAGAGGTTGCTCTAACATACGATGAAAAGCTCGACCTCATCCTTGCTCGCATAGCTGCCCAGACCACTCGAGATATGGAGATTGAGCTCGGGTGTGCTCGACTGAGCACACAAATGGAGATTCTTAGCTAAATCGATGCAAAAGTCGCTGACCCCCACCTCATGCTTGATACTCAAGCCCGTACGATGAAGCGAATGTGTGAGGCCGAAGAAGAAGATGATGCTCTCCAGCGAGACGTTGACGTTATTTCAGATGGGGAGACTCACGGGCTTGATTCTCAAGTCCCTTCCCCCGCATCCGAGTTGGAGCATCCTTCTTTGAAGTCGTTGCACTGTGTTACGAAGTGGGGAGTATTCTGTTCGACTTTCTCCACAGATGAGCTTATACTTCCGGAGGTTGACGACAGAGCTCGTGTGGGAAAAGCTCTACGTTTAGAGTTGGGGATTTCTCGTGCCCGAGCCCGCTTCAAGAAGAACATCGCCGCCCAAATCCACTATGCCAGCCTTCTCGCCAAGCTTTCCATGCTACCACTTCTGGAAAACACGAAGGCGTGGCACGACCGTCACTTCTTCCTAGATCCCGGCTGAGTCCCCTTCAGGTTTCGTCAAGCTAATGACGTTAAACAAGCGCTTCTTGGGAGGCAACCCAAGCGATTTACTGCTTTCGTAGATATTTTCTTTTATGCTTTTTAGTTTTATTTTTGAATAATGGGAGTTTTGGAGTTTTGTGTGTTTTCTTGGCAGGTACGAGATTACGAGCTCGAGCATGAGGATTGTGCTGAGTGAGGACTATGGAGATTCTGGGCTAAGCATAGGGGAGCGATTTGCACGTGAATGTTTGTTCTCCTCGAGGCACTTCGGTTTGCACACCCTTTTCTTAGTTTCTCTTTTTGAGTTCTCTTTCTCTCGTCTTTTCTTTTTAGTTTTGTGTGCTTGTGGTAGTTGCTGGTACTGGTTCGCTAATGAAATTGTTTGGTCCTCGTTTTGACTTCCTGTTTTGAGTTGAAGCAATAAGGTCATTGCCTCATTTTAAGTGTGGGGGAGTCTTTTTGAATTTTTGCATGGTTATGTGGTGGTCCGGTCTAGTTTTAGGATTTTGTGTTGTTGAACATGTGATATTGGTGGATAATATGAATTGTTGATGAATGTTTGATGAAATTGGGAAGTTGTGATAACGGACGTGTGGTCATTGCCTCGGTATTTGCTTGATTACTTTGAATGACATCTATTTGCCTTGTGAGGTTTTGGTCCTTTCTCTTTCTTTCTTGTGAGATATTGGTCATATTCTTGAATAATTAGAACTTGCCTTGAGTTTGTTTGAAAGGAATCGATTAAAGTTTGAAATTGCGAATATGATTGAGGCGTTTTGTTTGATTAGCTCTTTTTAGCCTTGTTCTTTGATCCTAAACGTTATTTTCCCTAGTAGCCCATTTGAGCTTTGAGCCTTTTTCTTGTCAGCCGTACACGAATATATTTTGTTGACTGATTTGGTGATGATTGGTGAAAATGGTGTTGCTGTTGAATGAGGTGAATTGAAGTTGGATTTCTATTGCTTGACCTACGTGAAAAAAAAAAACATGAGTTCGCATGACGAATTGAATGGATTATGCTTCTCTTACTAGTCGATTCATGTTGACGGGTAATGAGAATTTGAAAACTACTGTAGGACACTAGGATTTTTTTTTATATAAACATCCCAGATTGGGATGGGGGGTTGAGGCTACACCCCCGACCTGTGAATATAATGGCCCATATAGGGCTAAAAAGTCAATGGTCTACATCCAAGTCGAAAAAACACATAGCAACAACAAAAACAGAAAAAATAAAAATAAAAATAAAATAAAAATAAAAGATAAAAAATACAAGGGTCACAAAAATATCCGATGTGCCTCTAAAACCAAATCCTCATAGCAGATCGTCCTGGACAGAGTGTTCTGGTATGGGAACCAAAATGTCAAATCTAGTCAGGGGCAGGTGATCGGCCGAATCTGAAGGATGGGTACTTTAACTGGTCCGTCCGAATAAGCGTCCGAAGCCGGAGGGGAATGTCCTCAGGAAGAAGGGTGCGTCTCTGGGATATAGAGGCCCCCGTGCTAGCAAGGAAATCGGCGGGCCGATTTCCCTCCCGGAATATGTGCGAGACCTGGTAATGAATCGAGCGGAGGGTGTCTCTGATACGAATAAGCGGATGCTGGATCTGCCATGATCCCTGATGGCCAGATGTCAAAAGAGTGATGACTGCCGCAACATCCATCTCAATCCAGACATGACAGGAGATCGAGGCAGCAATCTCAAGACCAATCTAGAGCGCCTGAATCTCAGTATCATAACTCGAGGAGGCCCGGAGTGGCCCATGGAAGGTAGAGATGAGTGCCCCACCATGATCCCTAATCAGGCCCTCTCCTCCAGCAGCTCCGGTATGTCTGTCGAAAGCGCCATCAGTGTTTGGCTTAACCCAAGGGGCCTTGGGTTTCAGCCAAACAACGGTCCTGGGTCGTGGGTGCTGAACAGGTGAAGGAGCTGGTGGCCTCAAACGATGGGGCAGTGAACACCCTGTCCAGTCTCTCGTCGTTAGTCTACCCAGGGCGGTGAGAAGGGAGAGGTGTCTGTCAACCTGCAAAATAATGTGAGCACAAGAAAATATAATATCTCTATGCTTCTCATTATTCCTTTCTGTCCAGGTGGCCCATAGGATCAGACAATGAATAAGGAAGCCCACGTGTCTACTGTGTGTGCAGTGAGATAAAAAACTCAGAAGCTCAAAAAAACTGTCTGTAGTGGGTAGGAGTATATGAGTATATCTGGCATAGTGCTCCCACACTCTCCTCACAGTCTCACTCTCAAGGAAAAGGTGGGTGAAAGTCTCGCTCTCAAAGGTACCGGTCTCAGCACAACAATAGCAGCGGGAGGGTAAGGAGAACCCTCTCGCCTGCATCACAGTGTCAATGGGAATGCACCGTAATAGGAGGCGCCACAAAAAGACAGAATTTGTCGGGGTAAGAAGGTCGGTCCATATGGCTCCGAAGAGGCGGTTTGGCCGGTTGCCCAGCCTCACATCTCCCCAGGCTAAAGACGTAGAGAATGCACCCGAAGATGTAAGTCCCCACCTCATGCCATCCAAACCTCCCTCCAGAATGGGAATCTGTCGGATCTGGTCAATCTCTAGACTACTAAAACCCGCACCCTCACCAAGAATATCCTCAATCTTATCACTATCCCAAAAACCACCCGTCTAAAGGTCCTTCACCTGCATGAAAGGCAGGTGAGTGACAGGCCTAGTACTCGAGAGAGGGGCCTCCCTGAACCACCACTCATCCCAGAAGCTAACCTCCCCAGAAAAAATGTACTCCTGAGCACGCCTACCAACAGTGGTGAGCCGTCTCCACTGTCGACTATCTCGAGCAGTGGCAGGCACCCTGCAAGGATGGGTCGCACCACTAGGGCAATATTTCCTCAGGAGGTATTGGGCCCAAAGGGACTTGCCCTCCCTGAGGCGCCACCACATCCTGTAGGAAAACGCAGTAACCATATTAGAGAAATGTCGAATCCAGAGGCCACCCTCAGAGTGAGGACGACAGATGGAGTCCCACTTCACCCAGTGGGTCTGCCGCCGGCCTCGCGAGCCCTCGCCATAGCTCTAAAAATAGCGGGCTAAGGTCTGATCTAACTCATGGATCATAGACTGGTGGGGGTCAAGCACCGCGAGAAGGTGAAGAGGGAGGGTACAAAGAGTGCTCTTGATCAAAGCAAGTCGCCTCCGAAGGATAGGTGTCTATGAGACCAGCCAGAAATTCGGTCAATCATCCTCTGACGGACGTCAATGAAAAGCTCATGGGAGAGATGACCTTTGTACAAGGGGGCCCCAAGGTAAGGGATGGGTAAATCCCCACGAGCAAATCCAGTGCGCTCGTGGATCTGGTGAGCCCACTGGTCTGCAACGTGGTGGAGTGTAGGACACTTGGATGACCTCCAATGTTTACACGTACAGAATGTTGTCCTTTTGATTAGATCTTGTTTGGAAAAAGTTACTTTCTAAATAAAAAAATAGATATAGAAAAAAAATACAGTAAGATAAAAAAAAATATTGGGTCAAGTGATGTTGTAATCAAATTAGAGCAGTTAGGTGTTGTTTGTGGAGTTGTTGGGGAACGGTATGTGTTTTGCCTTGTTGATTTTGATGAGTAGCAGACATTCGAGTAGTCTATTACTCGAGAACTTTGATTGTTTATCTGAGTTTTTTGTTTATATATATCCTTACCTTTTCCTTAGCCCACAATATAACCCGTGAAGTCCTCTTGATTCGCAAATCTTGAACTGTGATTGTTTCTGAGTAATTTAGACGATTGGCAAGCATATGTTGAAACTTGAATATCGACCAAT